TTCGACAACCCGAACACCCTTCACACCAAGGATGGCGCTAAGAAGGCCAAGGCAAGAATCGTCTTGCTGGGCTTCCAGCACCCGAGCCTGCTGGACCCGACCTTCAAGACTGCGGCACCGGTTCAATCCAATCTTGGAAGAAGCCTGCTGCACGTTGCCTCAGCTCACCACCAATGGCCATTAGAAGGCCTGGACCTTGCCACAGCCTTCCTGCAGACTCAGCCCACTGAGGCCGACGCCAACCTGTGGACTACGGGAGTCAAGGAGCTGCAAGAAGCTCTCAACGTTCCCGAAGGCTCGCTTCTCAAGATCCTTCGCAACATCTATGGTTCAACAACAGCACCCCGAGGCCTATGGCTAGACCTGCACAAGACTTTGGTTGGCCTAGGAGCTGTACCTGCCCTTGGAGAACGTTGCCCTTGGCTATGGTTGTCACAGTTCGAGAAGGAGAGCACCGGTCGCTTCCCACGCCTCATTGGCATGATGGGCGGCCACGTGGATGATTTTCACCGGATTGGGGACAGGAACTCCAACGAATGGCTCGACATCATGCACAAGGTTGATCAAGCCTACAAGTGGGGAACCGTCAAAATGCGTTCCTACAGGCACGCCGGCACCGATGTGGAGACCATGAACGCCGATGACGGCACCTTCAAGATCTCCGTCAGCCAGGACGCCTACATCGAGACCATTCCCGATGTTGCCATTTCACCTGATCGCCTACGGCAAAATGGACCCCTGTCTCCCTATGAAGTTGGAGCATGCCGCACTTCCCTTGGTGCAATGCAGTGGTTCGCGGTGCAGACACAGCAACAAATCTGCGCCCGATGCAATTTATTGCTCACGGAAGTGGTCACAAATGGCACGTTGGAGACCGCCCGCGAGATTCAACAGATGATTGGCGAGGTCAGGCGTGAGTCCTACAACCTCGAGTTCCACAAGGTACCCACTGCGGAGCATTGGTCAGACCTGGTCTTCATCTCGATGGGCGACCAGGCACACTGCAATCGTCCGAAAGGGGACAGCACTGGCATGATCACACTGGTCAGCGGCCCCGAATGCTTGGATGGTCGTGTTGCCCGCATGATGGTCATCGCATGGCGCACATGGAAACTGCGGCGCAAAGCCATCGGCAGCAACGATGCCGAAGTGCAATCCATCCTGGAGGCCGAGGACCTGAACTTCAGAGCCCGTCTTCTCTGGACTGAGATTCATGGTGGCGGCCTTGCCCGACAACATGATCGCACCAACCTGACCACCGCTGCTGAACAACAAGTTCTGCTTATTCGGGGAATCCTTTGCACAGATTCCCGAGGTGGCTATGATGCGCTGGAGCTCAACGAGTCGCCGCTGCTTGGTTTGTCCAACCTTCGCTCAGCCCTTCAAGCCTTTCAGCTGAGAGAGAATCTGAAACGCGTTGGCTGCGAACTTCGTTGGCTAGCATCCGACTATGACCTTGCCGATGCCCTCACCAAGAAGAGAGCCGAGTGCCGTCTAGGTTTGCAGAAGTTCCTCAGCAAACGGCGCTGGTGCATCGCCTATGATCCCAGCTTCACTGCCGCGAAGAAGAACAAGAAGGTAGGAAAATCTGCCGTTCAGCAGATTGATGACGCTCTCCATCCCGAACACCGACCACCCCTGAGCGCATGGCCTGAGTTAGACTCAGCTTTTTCGTAGAAAACAGCTGATTTCCCTTTTGTCCTGGTGCAACAGCCAAACTCAGGACACGGATTCAGCATGGTTGATACATGCATGGCATGTGGCTCAGGGGGCCCCCTTTTGCTCACCCAGGCAGAGCCTAGGCTACATTCGCTAGGAGCCATAGAGGCCCTCGCACCGAGTGGAAAACAGTCGCCAGCCGACTTGACCGAGTGACTTCGTGAACATCACCATCATCGTGTGCATTCACTTTAGGAGCCCAATCGCTACCATTGCAGCACTCGCTGCAGTATCCTTATTCTAACCTCTCTACTGGAGACCTAGACTATATACGTGGCTTCTCCCAGCCTTCCTGTTTCTTAGCGTTCTAGCTTTTTGATTGGCTGAGTGGGGTTTCCATTGAACCCACTAAAAGCTACACGTCAGCCCAGCTGTATAGTCGGCAACCAAGGCCCGAAACAAAAAGCCACAGGAAAATAGCTGGTTGCCTATCACAGTGGCATGCCTGGGATCCACTGGGAAGAAGAAAAGGACACTTTCTCCTGGACATGATGATTTTTTGTTTTCCCGAAAGCATCGCGAAGGGTTCTTCCGTGCGGAGCCCTTGGACAAGTTACATAGAGCCAAGTTACATAGAGCCAAGTTACATAGAGCCAAGTTACATAGAGCCAAGTTACATAGAGCCAAGTTACATAGAGCCAAGTTACATAGAGCCAAGTTACATAGAGCCAAGTTACATAGAGCCAAGTTACATAGAGCCAAGTTACATACAGCCAAGTTACATAGAGCCAAGTTACATAGAGCCAAGTTACATAGAGCCAAGTTACCAAGTATAGAGCCAAGTTACATAGAGCCAAGTTACATAGAGCCAAGTTACATAGAGCCAAGTTACATAGAGCCAAGTTACATAGAGCCAAGTTACCCAAGTTACATAGAGCCAAGTTACATAGAGCCAAGTTACATAGAGCCAAGTTACATAGAGCCAAGTTACATAGAGCCAAGTTACATAGAGCCAAGTTACATAGAGCCAAGTTACATAGAGCCAAGTTACATAGAGCCAAGTTACATAGAGCCAAGTTACATAGAGCCAAGTTACATAGAGCCAAGTTACATAGAGCCAAGTTACATAGAGCCAAGTTACATAGAGCCAAGTTACATAGAGCCAAGTTACATAGAGCCAAGTTACATAGAGCCAAGTTACATAGAGCCAAGTTACATAGAGCCAAGGTTAGGTAGAGCTTAGAGCTTCGGCGTTAGCAGCTATGTAAGTTAGTTTTGGTTTCTAAGGCGCCGGGGCGGGAGTTTGATCGTCGCTCGGGATTGCGACCCTCTGCGGAGATTCGCGTGGTCGAGGTTCAAAAACTGGGGACTTTTTACGATTTCTGCTGGCCGCGCGCGACCCTCTGCGGAGATTCGCGTGGTCGAGGTTCAAAAACTGAGGACTTTTTACGATTTTTAGCATGCGCGCGCGACCCTCTGCGGAGATTCGCGCGGTCGAGGTTCAAAAAACTGAGGACTTTTTACGATTTTTAGCATGCGCGCGCGACCCTCTGCGGAGATTCGCGTGGTCGAGGTTCAAAAACTGAGGACTTTTTACGATTTTTAGCATGCGCGCGCGACCCTCTGCGGAGATTCGCGTGGTCGAGGTTCAAAAACTGAGGACTTTTTTGATTTCTGCGGTGCGCGCGCGACCCTCTGCGGAGATTCGCGTGGTCGAGGTTCAAAAACTGAGGACTTTTTTACGATTTCTGCGGTGCGCGCGCGACCCTCTGCGGAGATCGTGCGCGTCGAAGCGCTCTCGCTGTGGCGCCGTGCGAATTTGTCTTAGTCTCGGCGAACCCTCTGCGGAGATTGTGCGTGTCGAAGCGCTCTCGCTGTGGCGCCGTGTTTGGAATTGTCGTGGTTTGCGCGCCTGCTTTCGCAATCCCGCGGTCGCGGGTTCGATTCCCCCCTGGTCCGCGGCAGCTCCGGCTTGAAAATCTCAGCTTTTAAGTACAAACGTAGTACGCGGAGCGTGCTCCTGCAGCTCCGGCTGGAAAATCGTAACTTTTAAGTACAGACGTAGTGTGCGGAGCGTGCTCCCGCAGCTCAGGCTTGAAAATCGCAACTTTTAAGTGCAAACGTAGTACGCGGAGCACACCCCCGCAGCTCCGGCTTGAAATCGCAACTTTTAAGTACAAACGTAGTACGCGGAGCGTGCTCCTGCAGCTCCGGGTGGAAAATCACAATTTTTAAGTACAGACGTAGTATGCGGAGCGTGCAGCTCAGGCTGGGAAATCGCAACTTTTAAGTACAAACGTAGTACGCGGAGCACACCCCCGCAGCTCCGGCTGGAGAATCGCAACTTTTAAGTACAAACGTAGTACGCGGAGCACACCCCCACAGCTCCGGCAGCACTTGCGCAGAGCAACTTGCGCAGAGTCACTTGCGCAGAGCAACTTGCGCAGAGCAACTTGCACAGAGCAATTGCACAAAGCACTTGCGCAGAGCAACTTGCACAGACCAACTTGCACAGAGCACATGCGCAAAGCGCTTGCACGGAGCAACTGGCGCAGAGCCCTTGCGCAGAGCAACTTGCTCAGAGCACTTGCGCAGAGCAACTTGCACAGAGCAGGCGCAGAGCAACTTGCACAGACCAACTTGCGCAGAGCACATGCGCAAAGCGCTTGCGCGGAGCAACTGGCGCAGAGCACTTGCGCAGAGCAACTTGCTCAGAGCACTTGCGCAGAGCAACTTGCACAGAGCACTTGCGCGCAGCAGCTTGCAGAGAGCAACTTGCGCGCAGCAGCCTGGAACAATGCAGCTTGCGCAGACCACTTTCGTGAGAAATCGCGCGGCGCAGTTCGAGAGGAAAGTAGGATGATGAGATGGAGCTCTCATGTGACCATACACACTGAGCATCGCCGCGCGCAGACACGCTCGCCGCAGCGATGTAAAAAGGTGTCTCCGCAGCTGGATGAGCACCTGTGGAAAAATGCTTTCGGGCCAATCGTCCTCTAGTTTTCTTCAAACAAGGAAAGGGCGGACAATCAAGAGATCGGGCCTTCCAAATAAAATTTTCTTCACTCAAAGAGGCAAGTTCTGGAATGGATTCAGGCAAGTTCTCTCCTGTCAGAAGATTGTATTTTCTTCTTATACATAAAGTATATCCAACCATTTAGGGTTCAGGACATCGGAGAACTCACGAAACGTCTGTGGCGAGCAAGATTTAAGAGCCAGGGGACCGGTTTTAGCGTACCCTTACATAGGGTTCTTCCGGGCCTCCTATTCTTGAGCCACACCCAACATTTCCCAGCAAAAACGAACATCTGGAGAGCCCAACACCTGTGGCATTGAGCTAGGAGTCCAAGACCGAGCGCTGGGCGGTGACTTTGTGGCTTCTTGCTGACCTGCCCTAAGGCGAAGGGAGTCAGCCGAGGGCCTGAGGGCCTCAGTGTGTTTGTGGTTCTGGATGCTTGGTTCGTACGGGAATTCGGGGGGCTAATATGTTTGCTTAAGACTGCTTGTTTCTTATTATTATTTGTTTGCCCCTGTTGGTTTTACAGGGAATCGATTGCACTACTGGACATATTTTGGTATTTGTTCAGGGGGCTCAAGCAAATGGAAGTGAATGAATGATCCTTTCAGAAACACTCAACCACAACCCCAATCTGGGCCATGCCTTGGGAATAACGCACGTTGAGTATAATACTGCCAACCCTTTTTTCCAACTGGTGCATCATCGTGATCAAAAGCCCAGTGGATCCTTTGTTTCTGTGTAGCAGGTAGCCACCAGTAAAAATGGTAGCCCAAAAAGAGACGCGCATGTCAACTTGGTGAAATGATTTTGCTCTTCGCAGATTCTTGTGGAACCGTCTGGAGTGACCGCGCACCCCGCTTGTTGATCGACGCGATAAACAGAGATTGGCGGGGCGAAAAGGAGCGACCAGGCCACGGGGTGCCTGCGATCTGCGAAATGGGTCGCCTTTGAAGTGACTCGGGGTTCGTTTGGTCCCATTCAATCCTGGGCCACTCTGAAGGACTCCCCAAACTGAGCCTGAGGTTGGCAACTTGGGTCAGGCCCATGCCTCGACCCATTCGAGGGTTTTGAGGCCACAATTTGTTTGTAGGGTGGGCGGTACAAGGTGGGATGGGCTGTGCGTTTTGAGCAGATCCCCTGTGAGTGGTGTTAGGAAACCGCAAAAGGAAGCTACGCCGTTTTGCGGGGCCCCGAACTTGAACTAGACTTACCAGGCAAGCTGTCAGGTTGGTGCTTTGGATGGGGAAAACTGTGGATTGGAAAACGGGTCCCTTTGTAGAGGGTTACCAATGTAGAGCCTTTCCCGGTTTCACCTTCGAACCACCGGGCTCCAAACGCAAGCCTGGCACCCGGCGGAACCTGTCCGAGGCCTGGATCTGAAGAGGCGAGCGTTTGGAGGGCTGCCTTGGGTCGCGAAAACACGAGAAGTTCACCGGAACCAGGGATAAACGAGCACGGGCACGGTGTAGTTTTGCTCGGGGCAACCCGCCGTTTGTTGTTCCCGATCTTGAGACATTGCCACAATGCCGCCCTACTTTCGAAGTATCAAACGGCCCAGTATGTAAAGTGTTTTGAAGGGAAGTGTGACTCCCTGTGTGAGCCAGGGTGGTTTTGTTTTTTAAGGGTTTGTCTCGAATAGGTTCAGACGCCTTGTCATCCCGCTTTGGTCCAGGCGGCAGTCTTGCCGGCAGTCTACCTACCCCTATTGTGGGTGATTCTTCCTTTACATTTTGGTTATTATGATTTGAGTTTTCTTTTGGTGCGTGCAGGCTTCCCGTACTTCCACTTGGAGCTGCCATCTTCAATTTTTTTTGACTGGGTTCGAGTGAGTTCTCCCATGTTCCGCCGGAGCGGATTTGATTGAACCGTTTCAGTGGCAACCTTCTCGCGGTTTGTTCACCAGAAGTATGTTTTGCAAGGGCCCCTCTTCAAAACACAACTTTTCAACATTTTTGGGGGTAACATGGGCTATATGTCTGTAAAAGATTAACTTCTCCAGGGCTTGGAGTTTTAAGGGGTAAGGTGAGGTTCATTGTTGGGTGGGAGGGGGTATGATTGTAGCCCTTCAAGACGCCTCAGCTGAGTGGGTTGCAACCAGAATTTAGTAACCACTTGAGATCTGTGAGAACTCCCACAACTCCATGGGGCTGATTTCTGTTGTGCTTTTCCGGGGCCTCTTTCAGACCAACCCCTTGCAGATGGCTCCTGTTTTCGCCTTTTTTGACGGCGAACACCGATCAAGCGACGGTGGCTTGGGTGTTTTTGGTTTTTTTCCCCGGGCCGGAGCTTCTACCGTGGCCGATGGATGTCGAATAGGCCCCCAATTCCAATTGGTCAGGAGCAGGACTCAGACCAGATCCTCAAGAACTGGGAAATCAAGGACGTGGGGCTGCAGGCGGAATGCGTGGGCGTCTTTGTCCCGTGGGCCAGCAAGAGCATGCAACACCCTCGATGTTTCGCAAGTTTCACTGGGAAAGCCCCCCACCCAAACAGGACACAAGCCAAGTAGTCAACCCATGTTGCCCGAATTTCTGTCGCAATGCCCCGCCAAAACCGAGCCAACTAGCGTCCGATGTTGCTTTCTAGAGCAGAACTGGGCTTCAACAGGAGATTCCTCGAAATATGGTTTTGCTTCTTCCCAGCGCTTCCAGTTCCCATGGCAGATAACCAATATTTGTCCCTCCAGGTTTTACCATTAGGGATTCTAAGCCTGCTTGTTGAGGAAACATGACATGGCAACCCCCGCCCCCCTACCAAACCATCAGTCCAAACCACTTGACAAGGTGAGGTGAGATTTGGCAGGAGAGGTCACTAAACGGGGACTTCTGATGGCCTGGTGGGCCATAACTCCAAAACTGTGATAATAAACATCTTTTCATAGTGGTATTTTTCATCCTAAGATTCCTGGGGAGATTTGCTGTCAATTGGTGGCTCCAGAAGATAGGAACTACTTTTGGTTTCCAAGGCAATCTTCTTTCTTTCATATCGGGTATTTGGAGACCTGACATGAAGGAAGAGAGAAATAGAAAGGACGAGATGATCATAAAGTGATAGAATAAGTAAATATTTACTATCATATGAATATTCCTTCCATCTCTTACTTCATCTATCTTCAACTTTATATATATATATACACAGTGTACATATATATATATATATATGGGTGTGTGCCTTTCTAAGGTGCGCAGCCTGTTGCAAAGGGTGGAAGTGAGACTTGTGCGAACCATGCCTCCGAACCATACCCCGAACCATACCCCGAACCATACCCCGAACCTACCCCGAACCATACCCCCAAAAATATGAAGGGTGTCTCTCATCTGTTTTGCAGTTTGCTTGACTCCATTCACGCTTCGGATGCGCAGCTGGCGCTGGCTCAGAAGGCAGAGCTCTTGGCAGGAAAGCCGGTTGAGCACGAAGGGTTTTGCGGAAAAACATTTCCTTTCGCTGGGCACACAGTCGAAGTACAAAGCTGCTGCGTCAAAGCCGGGAAGAGCTGCTGGGCATCTTGCAGGCATGCCTGGAGTCTGAGCAGACGCTGTCAGAGCTGAAGCTCTTAGTGAAGAGCCTGAGGGAGGGGGCGCGTTTTTTCATATATTTTATAAACATTTTTTACTTTTTTTTAAACTTATTTATTTATGTATTTATTTATGTATTCATTTATTTATTTATGTATTTATTTTTTTATTTATCTATTTATTTGTTTATTTGTCTATTTATTTATTTATTTATTTATACACAGGGTAGACAGAATATGAAACATCATTCGAACATGGTATTTCTGTGTACCTTTTTTTGTGTGTGTAAAGCTATCATGGTTCCCTGCACTAAAAGGTTCCTGGGTCGGAAGGAGCAGGGCCCACACGGGCCTTTGGGTTGGGCCCAAGTCGATCAACAAAAATCGGACTGCCGGTCACTCATTCTTTTTTGAAGGCGGACGGGCCCCAACATGTCGGTCTCGTTTTGGCTTACGGATTGATTACAGCCGCCCAAAAGCATGACAAACATCGCAGATTGTGACAGCCGGCCGAATATCTTGGATTTGTTGATGACTTCTGGCAGACCTCCTTGCCACACACGCACACACACTTACGCAGCTTTCCTCGTCGGGCGAAGCAGCGTGCGATGCCGCAAGACTTCCACTTTGTCGAGCTGGGGCCGCCGCAGTCTCCGGAGCGCACCCAAGACTTTGAACCATGGCCATGTGGATCAGGGGGGTCCGGCCAAAACCATGCAAATCCCAAGGGCTTCTTGCGGCATTCTCTGGCTGGGACTAGGTTGAAGGCCCTGAGCAGGTGGCTCTTGTTCTCGATTTCTTGGGAACAAAACCGGGACCCTGGGGTCAATACAACATTTTTTCGTCTGTTTCTCGTTAGATCCATCGACCATGTAGTTTACTCACATAATTATGACGCAATGATTTTGAACTACCCCCTTGCCCCCCGCGAAAAAATACAACATAGGATTGAAACTGTTGCGGCCCCTACACCCAATTTGCTTTCCGCCCGCCAAGGCGCACAAGCGCTACTGGGCTCGGCAACGCCGTGCGTTTCGGTCACTGGGCAACGGGCATGCGGTGGACACAGATTCGGATGTGGAAGATGTTGTGGACTCTTGCTCGCCACTCTGGCGGTGGACTCTTGCAGAAAGGTCGAGACTTTGCTCGCCACATGTAATGCAGACTAGCGCTTCGTCTCCACCTGCAGATGGGCAAGCCACTGAGCAGCGGCTCGTTTGCATTTACTAACTTTTTGTTGGTGTCGAGCCTTCTTCTCGTGGCTCGCAGGAGTTGCAATGAGCTTGCCGAGCTGGAAGCAGGGACAGGCCCTCTCTCGTAGCATCCAAGAGTAAGCAGACCGGCTGCTTGACCTCACACATTTGAAACTCATTTGTGAAGCCAAGCTTGAAACACATTGCGAATGTTTTTCGCTACATGTTGTTGCTGAGGCTGTTTGAACCCCACGATCAAGGAGTATGCTCTTCAGTGGCAGTGGCGTTATGTCTGCCGCGGGCATGATCTCTTCCTGAAGACAGGCAAAGCGCTGGAAAGCTGGCGTCGGTGAGGTGACGCGCACGCGCTTGGGCGAGCCAGAAGCTGAAAAAAAGGGCGGCGGGAATCATTCCGTACGGTCGTTTTGGGTTCCCTTAACAAAGCAACTCAACTAAAGTTGCGGTATTTGGTGGTTTTGAAGTGACATCCGGGTGCCCCCAAAAAGACACACACCCATTTGTCCCCCGCCCCCCCCCCCCTCCCACCCCTCCCTCCCCCCTGACTGAGGGAATGAGTTTGATCTTTGACGCGTTCTTGGTATCAAAGTCAGAAACTGGCTGGCGGCTTCCCTTTCACCTACCGCTTGGGGTGACTTTGATCCTGGTAGAATCCAGCTGATGAAATTTTTGGATATGCCTCTAGCTGCCCCTTGTTGGTTCCCTAACCAATCAGCAAATCGCAAATCGAGCCCTCAACCAAATTCTTTCTAGCAGTTTGGTCGGTTTGGGTGTACTGAAGCCTCAAAAAACCAACTGAAAATTGGGTTCTTACAACCCAACATTCTGGGTGTTTCTCCTGTTTTCAGGGTAGGTCGAGGGTCCAGGTAGGAAAAGGGGGGGGTTCTTGTGAACCCGCAGATGTTTGTAGGTTCAGGGTCTAGGTCGAAAAATGGGGCTCTTGTACTCACTGCAGGTCGTTCGCTTTTCGTTTCCGTTTGGTTTAACAAGAAGAAAAAAGACGCGACGAGCGCTCCGAGCCGCTGGTTCTGCGCTCAGACGCTCCGCAGTTCGCAGAGGCCACGGCGAAGGTGAAGTCGTCCTCCACGCCGCTGCTCACGTTGATGCGGCTCTCACAGGCCGGGAGGTTGATTCGTTGGAGCGACGCACTTGCTCAAAACCGATTCGGGTAGATGACAAAACCCGGGGATTAATAAAGGCTAGTAAGGGATACTCCCAATCATAAATGGCTGCGGATATCCGCCTTCTTAATTCTTGAAGCATGGTTCTGGGATTACGACCATTTTAATACCGGGTTTTGATTAATTATGACTCAGGCGAGCGCCCCAAAAATTCCCCCCCCCCCCCCAAAGGCTCACTTCTGGAGTTCAGCCGGACTTTAGTCCAGTCACTTTTGGGTTTGGTTCCCATTTTGGTGGCATACAACAAGGTTGGTGACTTTTCCTGCCACTCAGGAAGTGAGAATGGGCGATTTTAGTAGTCACTTGTTTTTGGGGGGTCTTCGATCATGAGTGGACTTGGTTCTACCTGGTTTCATTTGGGTTGTGGCCAATAGAACCTGGAACAAATCATAACCATGTTAGAACCAACAGTCAATAGGTTTCGCTGCTGGGAGGGGGTGTTAATCCCTATTGGGTGGTTTGCATTTGTGCTATGGATTTGGATGTGAACCCCTTCATCTTGGAGGAGGGTAGATGGACTACCCCCAGAACACTTCGAAACCACCAATCCAAGCCATCAAGCGGGGAGAAGCTGAGGTGTTTCTTCTTTTTGAGGGTGGTTTCAAGGGACACCCAGCAGGAAACCCGAAATCACGTTTGGGACCCGGTGTGAGTCCCAAGGATCAGCGTCCCGGCGGGGCTGCGCTTCTCAGCTCTTCCTTGATTTATAAGGATGCAGGAACCCTCAAGCAGTGCTCTTTTTTTCTCTGAGTCCCCGAATCCGAGCTGTGGGGATTCATGCTAATGGTCATTGGAATAGGATCCGCTAAGGATTCATGGAGTTTGGGGCTTCAAACTGGCTTGTTTGAAGCCAGGCAACTTAGGAGACACGAGTGGCCCAGTGCTTCCAGGCAACATGGACACGAGGGGAGAGGCACCAGGTGACCTTCATACTTGATACTTCCCAGCCATCCCCTTAGTTTGTTTGATTTGTTTAGTTGGCTTAGCGAGAGTGCCTACTAAACCTCTAAAGGTTAGACTTGAAGCAGGGGATCGAAGGGGACCAGCCCGGCATGATGGTATCTGAAAGCACGTGGGAAGTAGTTTCCTGGTCCCAGCAAGGGGATACGCTTTCTTTTTGCCGTTGAACCAATGCCGTTACAGCTGCTGATTTCGAGTTGATCCTTCAATCCTTAAGCGAAGAGGCGGTTCAGTAAGCAGATAAGCCATATTGAGTGGTCAACCGATGGCTATGGCTACCCAAAGTCCAGAGAGGGATTTGCAGAGCAAACCACTAGTTTCTGCTTGGGAATCATTTGCCAGAGCTATCCTTCTGAAAGGGCTAGGGCAAGGCCAGATTTCCCAAACGAGCAAACGAGCAACGGGGAGGGGGGTCCAGACATCAGCCATCGAAATCATTTGGCTTCCGGCTGCCCCCACAAGAATCAGTTGTGCTGAATCACTGGGGCGTATTGATCAGGAAGAGTTGGGACTTCCCAGAACGAATCAGAGGCCACTTTCCAAGTCGTGCCAGGGCTCCCAGCCCTTCGGTTCCTACGATAGAGTTGACCTTCGGTACTTATGACATGTCCCACTAAATGTGTTTCTTTGAAAGTAAGGCACCCAAGAAGGTCTGCGATTTTGATGTGACCTTGTGCCTCTCAATTTGTTTGGCGAGTTTCTGCACAAGATTAATTACTATGGTAGTTTCCAAGGACCCCTCCAGGAATCTTGAGAACCCTTTCAGCAGGTTGCATCCGGATCAAGTGCAGCATCGCTTGGCATTTCCAGCAACACACCTAGCCTGGAAGCAGTTCGGACTTGCAAGCACAGAAGAGATGGCTTGCATGACTCTTGATGCTGGGACTGCTTTCCTCCAATCCGATTTGCCTGATGTGCACCACGCTATCATTGATCTGCCCGCCGACATCTCGGGAAGTGACTAGTTGCAGCAGCCGTTTCACGCCATCTTGGATAAGGCCATGAACGGCTTGCGGGTTGCCAGCCAAGCTTGGATTAAGCTCGTCACGAATATGTGCTCAAGGAGGGCTGTTCTAAAGGGACGCCAATACAACCAATCGGAGGTTCCCCCTTGCACAGATGTCACACCAAGCCAAGACGCTTTGGCACAAGAGATTTGGATCCCTCAAATTGAACGTTCTGAAGGGTCCAGTTGAAAAAACCTTGAGCTTGCTTAGCTGCTAAGCATTTCACAGGTCTCAGTTTGGAGTCCAAAGATGTCCAAAGGATGACTTGGATGACCTGAACCCAATCTTCCATTTGGTTAAGAAGTTTTATTATTCTCCCCTGTTGGTTTTAAAGGGAATCTATCACTAAGGAAATCTTTTTAGTTTTTCCAGGGGACTTAAGCAAATGGAGGCAATGGTGCCCTTTCTGTCAATCAAAAGAGCAGCATGTCGAGAGAAGCCTGCAATCATGTTCAGGTGGCCCAATTCTTTAGACCCCTTCTTTCCCGCAAGCGTTGAGGTAAATTGCTAGGGGTTGATTCCTTGTCCATTCTTTTCAACCATCGTTCTTTTCAAAACACACTCTTTTTTTTCTGCGCTTTGTGATTGCTACTACTATACTGGCTTGCCTGGAAGAACTCTCCTTTCTAAGTGGCCTGACATACTTCTGGAATTCGTGGTTTGTGTCAATCTTGGGAGCTTCTTAAATTGGCGGGTCTGCCTGTTCTTCCTGTACCCGCGAAGCACTGGGATAAGCGAAGAACAGAGAGGTTGCGAACAATGCCGGGACCCCCCCCCCCCACGCTGATTAGATTTCCATTTGCTTAAAACATGTGTTTGATTTTCCCCTGGTGGCTTTAAAGGGAACCTATCACTGCCGAAAAACATTATACTTTTCCAGGGAACCTGAGAAAATGAGTGAGTTTGTTATTTTCCCCTGTTGGTTTTACAGGGAATCAATAACTACTGGACAAAACATCTCCTTTTTTCCCAGGGGACGAAAGCGCAAATGCAAGTCGACCGGGGGACTCCGGGACCGCGCCAGAACTTTCCCAAGCAAGTCGTGGGGCTGTCGGGAGCCCCTCCCGGGGGGGGGGGGAGGGCGGATGATGCCAGGGCGTTGCTGAGGAGTGCCGGTTGGTTTTTGGATTGAGACATCAACAGCAAAGGGGGACCAAAGGAGCACCAAGGGAAATGCAAGGAGGACCAAAGGAATGCCAAGGGAGAAGAAAAGGAAGGATGAAGGAACACCTTTTCAAAAGAGACAAGCTAAGCCCCCCCCCATGTTGAGGGTTCAATCGTTCCAGGCTACAATGATAGCCCCCTTTGGTGCGGATCTCCGCCCGGAAATTCTTGACCGTGCCGAGTGGATCCCAGGCGTTCCGCCCCAGGCAAGCCTTCGATCCATTGGGTAGGCCCTTGGTTTCCTACAAAGGTGATGGAATCGCATTGGGGTAGATCGCCTTTTGGTTTTTGAAGGGTGGGACTTGGTTGCCTACAAAACCAGGGCAATGGAATCACGTGGGTTTGGGGTAGTTGACCACTTTGGTACCAGGTGGTGAGGCTTTGAATCCTGGCTAAATTGCTCTTGGCAAGAAAGGGCAACAGAGCAGAGCGCCTCCCACCCCAGGTTCCATCTGGACACAACGCAATCCTCCAATTTCGGCTTCCAACGGTCTTGCGGTTGGCAACCGGGCCCAATCAAGGTTCCTTTGGGGATGGAGCCCTTTCAGGTTGTTGAAGTAGTTGTGATTCGCCTAGATCGGTGGATTAAAGTGGCGAAGGGTTGCCTACTACACCTGGTAAACGTTTGTTTATAACCTACGTTTGAGTCCCCCGTTCAGCGGGGTTAAACTTGTTATTGGGGGGTCAAACACCCCAAGTGGCGATCGATCCCCACCTTGGCGAATTCTCACATCCAAGTCTCCACTGGCTTGGACTTGGCTTCTTCTTCTTCTTTCCGCGGTTTTTCCGAGCCTAGGT